CCCTTCCCACTCACCCCCCGGCAACCCCTGGCGCAGCGGCAACCAGCCGGGCACCGAAATCCACCGTATCGTCATTTGCGATAGAAGCAATAAGCACCACAGCCACATTGGGCAATAATATGAATAACAATGAGAATAAGGAACTTGGTCATGTATTTTTCTTTCTTTTTAATGGCGAACAACTTGTCTTTGTTTTGTAAAGTAGCATCGACTTCAGAACTGATAACAGGGGTAAATAATGGTAGATACGTAGCCATTCATCTTCTGACCCTTACAAGTATGTTGTTGATTCTTTTTTGTCATTTTTAATCTTTATATTGTTTCGGCGTGGCCACATTCTGATCGCAATAAGGCTTACTGTGCTTTGTAACTCCTAGTAAACTTCCCTAAGAAAGTCAACAACCCCCCCCCCCCCAATTTCCAGCAGCGGCCTTGCCTGTTCTTAGCGCCTGAGAGTAGGCCGAGAGGCAGTTTGCGTCAGCTTCACCCCTATAGCTCGGGAGCCGCTGCTGCTAGTGGCCCTCCAGGACCACTAGCTGCTGCCGCCGCCCCTGGCGTCCTGCTGTCCCGCGCCTGCGCAACGCGTGAGCGCGTGTGCGAGGGGATGACTCACCAACGCTGCTACCCCCCCGTAGACCAGGGGGGTAGCAGCTGCCCCCCCAGTCCAGTCCCCATCCCCGGCGGCGGGGGTAGAACTGTGTCAGCGAGCGGATGACTCACTACCACCCCAGTACAGCGAGGGGGCTGCCCCCCCCCCCTCCCCAAACGACCCCCAGACTAAACACAACACACACGCCCGTCTAGCGGAGCGGGCCCCGAGTGCCGGTCCACCACCATCACTTCGCACGCAGTATGCCATTCATTCAGACTGTGCTCTGCTGAGAGCACTCCAAAGCTACGAAGCCTAATACGAAACATGGACCAGTATTGGGGTTAGGTTCGCCACCGATCCCTCCACACATCGCAGCGCAAGTGAATAACAGCAGACGTGTCCGGCGCTATCGATTTCCCGCGTTACGGCGACGGATATTATTTGATGAGATCTCGATGCTGGATCCTGAGACTGGGGGAGCCACCCTCCTCCGTCCTATGTGTGGGCCGGCGGCGTGCGCGCTGCGCTGCGCCCCTCCCTCTCTCCTGCAGTAGCGCGGCGCGGGCGCCAGTCTCGTGCCGGCGTGCGGCGCGGCCGGTTGTGTTGTGTCGTGTGCGCCCGCCCCGCTCCGGCTCCGCGCTCCGCCGACTCGCGCTGAGCCGCGGAGGAGGAGGCCGACTCCACAGTGCGTCGCGCAGGCGGATCTCGTAGTGCTAAGTGCGTGTGCCAGTAGTGGATCCAGTGGATGTCGTCCTGAGTGGATTGCGGGGCCGTGCCGGCCCAGCCGCAGCAGACATGGCCGGGGAGCCGGCGGCCGGCTGCAGCCGCGGGGGACCGCCCGACCCAGCAGGGTCGCCGCTCTGGGACTCGGACGGCTCGCTCAGCTGGGAGGACTTTTTCGGTGAGTCTGACGTTTGTGTTTCTGGTATAGCTCGGACGCTCTGCCGCCGGCTGGGGGAGTGCGACATGTGTGTGCCTCGCACTGCCCCGCCAGTCAGTCGGGGTCGCGGTTGGTTTGTTGATTACCGACTGGGTGGCCCCCTGCGTATCCAGCAGCGCAGGGGTGCACACCGTCAAAAAAAAGTATCAGTAAAACAATAACAAGATAAAATCAATTTTATTAAAAAAAGGAGAAAAAATAGGAAAAAATCATAAACGATCAAAAAGTCAAGGTAAAACATAAATCGGCGTGCACTTGAGTTTGGTGAAGTTGGTACTGCACTGAACTGCGTGAGCTGCACAAACTTTAGTTACGACATCGTCTTGCCGTTCGATCTTTCCTCTGTTGGAGGGAATGCCCGCCCCTTGTCACCCGCGTCGCGTACAGCGTCACTCGGGGGGGAATGACACGCTAAACGGGCGCGGCAGACTGAGTCTTTTGAACTCTTTTTCCATTTTTCATTTCTCCCGGCCCCGTCTCTTTATATTGTTTTAACGGCTCGCTCTAAGCAGCTCTAATCTCGATTGAGGCGTCCCGAAGATGTCGGAAGTGCGGAAGCGACCGAGACGCGCGCGGGCTGTGTGCAGCCGTATCGAGGGCTTGTCAATACGCCTGTTGACACGCCCGGCCCGTCTTTGTCTCGGGCTGCAGACGCCCCCCCCC